CTTTTTGCCCTTTTCGGATCATGTGTTAGAAGGCACAGAACCATACCACTCATCGGGTGTCCACTCATAAAGCCGTGACATGCTGCTTGGGTACTCATTTGGTTCATAAACAGAACGTACTTGCTGCTTGAGAATCCACAGAGGAAGCCTCCTTGCCTGCTTATGACATTCACACCACAAATAGCAGAGTAAAGAGCCACATATCCTAAGTGATTGCCCACAAATGGGAAAGCAATAATCATAATAAACAGTTTTCAAATGCCACAACAATTGGATTCGAATCATGGCTGTGCTGGCAACCGGCTGGTTGGACCGGGCCGGATCCAACCGGGCCGGTTGGACCCCCGGTGGTCCAACCGGAGTTCCGGTTGGGCCCAAAAGTGGGTCACAAAAAAAAAATAAAAAAAATAAAATGAAAACATGGTTGGACTGCGCTCCCTGGGATCTCCCCAAATCCGGAAAGAAAACTTTGAACAGAGAAGTTTCGGTTGGGGGGTTGGGGCGTTGGGGGGGGGTTGGTATTTCAGGGGTTGAGCGTTGGGGGTTGGGGGGGTTATGGTGAGGGTGTTAGTGGTGGGGTTTCAGCAAGCACAGGCTTCTGCAGACATTGACAACAACGTACCTGGCTTTCTGCAAACGTTAACCTCCTGCCCAAAACTTTGAAAAGGGGGCTGGGGGTGTTAGTGGCAGGGTAGGGACGGTACTTCCCACCCAAAAGCTTTGAAAAGGTGGGTGGGGGTTATAGTGTTAGGGGGTGCTTGTCACTGCTGTCTGGTCCAAGTTAACCTCCTGCCCAAAACTTTGAAAAGGGGGCTGGGGGTGTTAGTGGCAGGGTAGGGACGGTACTTCCCACCCAAAAACTTTGAAAAGGGGGGTGGGGGTTATAGTGTTAGGGGGTGCTTGTCACTGCTGTCGGGTCCAAGTTGCCCTCGATACTGGTAGGATAACGGTCCTGAGTGCTGGTCACACTGAGGTGGGATAGTAGGGATAGGGGGTGCGCTGGGAGAATTAACATGGGGAAGGGTAGGGAAGGTGGCCTATCCT